GGAGGTGGGGGTGGGGGTGCAGGGTGCACGAGTGCTTTGTTTGGCATTGCATGGGCAGCGCCCCCCACGTCCTCACCTTCTTTGCCCGGGACACTGGGGGACAGCATGTTGGCTAACCTTAGCTGGTGAGGTGCAGGGGGAACCCCGACCTCGCCCAGGCCCTTCTGTTCAAGGTGCCTGTTGAATGCAAACGCGTTGCAGCCTGCAGGGCCCTTGGCGGAGGCCTGCAGCAGGGCGGCGGTGGGCATGGGGCCCCGGGCGGCCATGGGCATTTGGTAAAACTGCTGTCTGTGTGAGGGGGCAGCTTCGGGGTGGAAGCTGCCGTTCTTGTCCACGTGGAACAGGTTCTGCTGGAAGCTGCACGAGGGCAGCAGGCGCTTCTGCGGCTTCACCTCCGGGCTGTGGGCCACCCGGGTCTGCACGGCGTGCTTGCCCAGCCACTCCTGCTTGTACGGCTGCCCGTGGCCGAGCTGGTTCATGGCCGAGCTGATGACACAAGGCACCCCTTTGACCTCCGGGTCCCCCAGCAGTTTCCCCGGCTCGCATTTCACTTGGCTGTGCTCCCCGACAGTCCTGGCCACTCTCTTTTTTGGGTGGTTCTCCCGCTTCCTCATCTGGAGTGGGGCCAGGGTTCCTGCCAAATAGCCCTTCCCGTCTGGATTTGGGGAGCTGGACGGCATTTCCACCAGGCTCCTCTCTGGCGCGGTTTTGCCCACTGAGGTAGTTTGAACAGGCAGAGGAAGCCTGTTGATTTCTAGCTTGGCGCCCAGTCGGGGCTGCGGCAGCACTTTCTCCAGAGGCAGGTTGCCTTGCAGGAGTTGTGTCACCAGCGGATTGTTCGCCTCCACCGATGACAGGCGGCAGCTTGAACTCCCGGCACTGGGCACCCTTTTGAGGGGGTCTGGAGCCAAGGAAATGGGCTCTTCCATAGGACTGGAGGTGGCCACCTTGGTGTTCTGGGCTGGTGGCACACTGGAGGTGACTTCTGGCACGGGAGGGGGCAACTCGGGCCCAGGGAAGTCTTCAGTGTCCATTCTAAAGCCCTTGTCCGCCTCGTGAGGTTCAGCTTTCACAGGGAGGGTGACGTTTGCTAGAAGATTCCTGGGGTGCAGTTCTGACACGTGGGGGTAGCTGGCATGTTCAGTTTTGATGGGTTTTGGGCAGCTTTGTTCTAGATAGTCCTTCTGTTTCCCAGAGTGGCTCACCAGCGGCTGGCCTGTGCTCCGCACGGCATCCTCAGTCCAGCAGATCCGGTTCCCTGGGTTATACGGATTATTACTACAGGTCGTGTCGGCTTCACTTTTGAAGGCAGTCGGGCCATGTGCTCGCTCAGTAAAGCTGTGACTGGGCGCCGGCACCTCGTTCAACTTATCGGGGACCATGAGGGGTAATTCCTGGAGGTTTGTACAGGTGCCCTGCAAGGTTTTACAGTCTTGTTTCGCTGCAGGTGTAGCAAGAAAGCTAGGCCCATGGTCGAGGCTGTCACTTGTAACTGGCTCCGGCCTGCTGATGACTGACACCTGGGGACACGCCATGGGTTGGACGGGAGGCTCTGTCCTCACTGACCGGCTCTGCAGGTCCACACTGGTTTCTGTGCTTTCAATGGCGACAGTCAGCGACAAGCTGGAGGTCAGCGTGGTGCTGTGGTCCACGATGACCTTGCAGGGGATCGATCTGTTGATGGCTGCTGGGGTGAAGCCCCCGGGTGGCTGCAGAACTTTTCCAGAATTATCTGCTCTGCTACGAGGCCCTGCGTTTTTGTCCAAACTTTCAGCACTCAACTTGGGCGGGTTGTCGTAAGAGTTGATGGTGAACATATTTCCAGTAAACATGGCAATGGGTGGGCGTGTGACCAGAGAGTCCGGGGCTGCCACCGGCTCGCTGCAGCTGAGGGGGGGTCTCACAGTGGTACCCATGGAGACGGGGGCCTGCTCTTCACTCCCAGGCATGGCTAACTTCTCAGTAGGAAATCGGCTGTTCATTCCTGTTGGAGGAATCAAGACCGAGCTGGCAGAGAGATGGTTTGGCAAATTATTTCCAATGGAGGAGGTTGGCACAGAGGTGTATGGGCTGGAGACTAAGGTACTGGCATTGGTGCTTGAGATCAGCAACTGCTTCTCCTCCATGGAGTCTGATATGCTTGGGCTCTCTGTAGTGGCTGGGCCTGGGGTGTTCTCAATGCATTTTGGAAGAATGGCTATGCACGGAGTGTCAGCGGCCTGGATGGTGTTGAGCATGCTGAGGCTACAGGCAGAAATGGTGGTACTTGCACTGTCCACAGACATGAGAACGGAGGCTTTATCAACAGAGCCTGCAAAGGGGTGTTCTTTAATTGCTCCCGACACAGGAGTGCTGCACACAGACACAGGGGCGGGATTTTTATTAAAAAGCAGCGGCACGCTGCTGTTTTCAGAAGAGGTAGATGAGACAATTTTCTCAGACAAATGCGACACAGGTATACTGTCCTCAGAGCTATGCACAGGTAAGTCAGTGGCTTCTGGAACTTTCGGCGGGTTGAGAGGCTGCTGTAATACAGTGGTGGACTCCCGGAGGGGTGCTGGTTTGTTGCTAGGAGACCTGCAGTTTGGATTAACAATGATGACACCAGTGGAGCCTTCAATTTTTGTTTCTGGTGTGGAAGAGACATCTAAGTTGGGAGGCCCTTCTTTGGAGCTGACCTGGGGCAACCAGGCCTCTTTAGGGGTCTGGAAAAGGTGGGCTCGGGCTGGATGCTTGGGGAAGAGCTTAGCCTTTGTCTGCTCCTTGATGTGGGCCAGGGTTCTGGCCTTTCCACCTTCACCTGGGCTCCCCATGGCTCCAGAGACAATGCTGGCTGCTGCAGCTACAGCCGCAGCAGCGGCCGCCTCTCGCTGAGCCCTGGCTTGCTGGGCTCGGGCCTTGATGTCCGCGAGGGTCCTGGCTCCGGTGTTCCTCCCGCCGCTCACCGATGTGCTGGTGGATGCCCGCGACTCCGCTTTCGAGATGGGCTGGCTCTTGATGATGAAAGGTGGTCCGATTTTGGAAAGCTGGATCTAAAGGAAGAGGAGAATGAAAGATGAAGCGTCTGAAAGGAAATTACAAAGGAGGTGGGTAATTATTGTCAGGACTGACTCACAGCTGACCTCCAGCAGATTTTCAGGGGCAGTAAACTGCATAGGAGAAGGCTGTTTGTCTTCCTATTGTGAAATTACCAGTAGGCCACCAGAGAGAGCACCATTGAGATTGCCAAAGCAGAAGTTAAGTCAATGCTGGGATTATTTAAAGAGCAGATTTTGAGCTTTAGTGGGGGGTAGTGTTAAATATATGCCAAATAGTAATTTTTAGTCACCTTTCCAATTCACTGTAGTATTTTTGCATGGAAGGATGGCTAGTAGCATAGTGATAAGGAGCTGCTCTGCCAACCCAAAGGTACTCAGTTTGAGTCTACTGGTTGTTCTGTGGCAAAAAGATGGGCAAACACCTCCCATGTCATTTACTGCCTCTGCAAACCCAACAGAGGAACAGAGGATCAGCTATTGCTTAGTTCCAACTCAACGGCACATGCCAACAAATGGAAGGCGGCAAGACTGTGATAAAGGATGCACAGGGCTGGCTGCGTTCACTAAGGCAGTGGAAAGAACCACACCTAAATTCCCAAAGGCATTTTTAGGGCCCAAACCACAATAAATGTGAAAATTACATTTTCAATCTAGGCAAAACATGAACTGGTAGCTTCATTTGGCAGAGAAATAAAGAATTCTCTTAATGTCTCATCTAAAAGGAAGCAAAATGAATGCTTCTTCAAATATGACATTAGGAGAATAGACTTCATGAACCTTTTTGTTGTTGTCATATACCATCAAATTGGAACCAACCCTTGGTTTGGACCCGCCAGTGGGTTTTCAGAAGCAATATATCACACAAGGTGAGTCTGATCAGCTTTCTCCCACGGAGCAGCTGTGGATTTGCACCAGTTGCCTTTGGGTTGGCAGTGCAGCTCCTTAATCCTGGCCATCAGCCATCCTTGTTGGTTTGCAACACTGGTGCTTGACTTTAACTGTACTTGTCTTATTTGACCCAAAAGGTATAGGGGTAGGAAACTGGGCCAGAAAGTCAGGAAGGTAAAATTCTCATCTTGACTTTCCCCAAAGAAGCTCTGTGATCTTCTCAAACTGTCTACCTCAGTGCCTCAGAAAATCTTATGAAGACAGGGCCTGCAATTGCGTGGTTATATGTTCATTATAATGACACAATAAAAGTTTGTAAACTTGTTGTAAAATCAAACTACTTCTTTCTGGTCTGTTTCCTTCACAGAGCTGTTATAAAGATGAAATGAGACTGTTTTTGTGAAACTGTATTTGTGAGGGTGCTTTTATTATCATTAAGTTTTCATAAAAGCCAATCTCTCTCATTGCCTAAGAGAAAAATATGGGGTATCCCATTTCTTTTCTTATTGATAATACACAATCTGCTGAATTAGGTAACTACCCCAATCCACATTGTTTACCTACTCATGCAAATGAAAAGATCCACAGAGGTTGTGTCGTAAAACTCATGAGATCTAACAGCTGGGTCCCCTAGAAGCACCTATGACTCTGGAGGCACTGAGAACATTCTTGATGACGTACCATCAAGTCAGAGCTGGCTCATAGCTGACCCTCCAGTTGGATTCCACAGACTGTAAGGCACATGAGAAGAGAACACCCACCTTTCTCCTTTGGAGTAGCTGGTGGATTCTATGTGTTTGTCTGGTTTGGCAGTCCAACTCCTTACCAACTGGACCACCAGAGTTCCCTAAGAATATTCTTAGAGCTAAAGATCTGGAGAGCTGCAAGGATTCTGATTAAAGCCTCTCATTATACAGTTAAAAGGCCCAAGCATATGAAGTCCTCTACGCTAGGGTCATATAACATAATTTCATACTGTGTACGTGTGCTTGGATTTCCTTGTCCCCAGGAAAAGCCTTCCCTACAGGACTTGCCTTTTCCTTCATACATGTATTTACATTATAACCTGCCACGTATTACAGGATCACATTAATTTAGAATTATGCTTAAGACTCTGATAGATAGCATTATCATCCCAAGATAGGTAGGCCTTTTCTCATTTTCAAACTGCTCATGAACTCTCTCCTTGAATCCAAAGCCTTCCAAGAAAAGATGAATTTAGCAAGGAAAGAAAAAACGATTCCACTTTCCCTTTAAAATGTATCCTTCAGTTGAAAATGTTTAAAAATAATTAAAAAATGGAAACTAGAGATATTCAAGAATATTAATAGCCAAGCAAAAAGTAAAGCTACCTACAGTTATGCATTCTCTGTCTCTCAACTATTAAATGAACAATCTTTAAAAAAACAAAAAAACCCCTTTTAAGATAAGTTTTCATAAGGAAAAGTGAGGCAAGTTTATTCTAAGACATATCATATAAAAAAGTACATAGTGAAATTATATTTTTATTTCCATTGCATTGGTAGAATGCATAATACCAATGCAATGGAAATAAAAATTGTTAGAATGCATAATAGGCTCTTGATTGATGTTTAATGTTCATCTTCTACCTCTTTAATAGGGAGTGTTTTATTAAGTAGAATGATGATTTTTTATCTTAAAAGTCAATTCTGCTGAGATCATGGGTTATCTACAAATAGCAGGCTTCTGAGTAAAACTAAGAGAGATTAAAAGAAAGCGTGAAGATGTTTAGGATCCTATGCCACTCATATTTAGAATTATCCATTTTTATTCTAGTATCTAAAAATATTTATATAAAACCTCAAATACATGCAAATTTTAGTGGATATTCATTTTAATAACAATAATTTGTATTAATTTTAATTTAAAATATACTTCTTGTTGTTAGGTGCCGTCGAGTTAAGTATGACTCACAGCTAACCTAGGAAAAAAAGATCTGAACTTTGCTCTATCCTACTTAGGCAGAGCCAATTTACAGAAGAGGTTTGTTTTATCTGAGACACTGGAGCTAAAATCTGAAAAAATAGAAAGTATATAAATTGGAATGTTTGTCTATAAGGATTTAATAGTTTTGTGGCATTAAAAAGACTTCTTTCCTACTTTATGAATAGAACAACAAGATTTGTATATTTACATCACCGTAGCGCCCTCCTCCAGGGTTTGTAAAGCAATTTCGTTGGTTTATTCAAGAATTATTAATTAGGTCCTCGTCTAAGCCAGGTCTCTAGGTGAGGCCGATACCGGTAACCAATAGCTTATTGGATAATAATGATCTCTTTTACTACAAGCTCCTGATTTGTAACTATTTCTTTCCCACGCTTGCTGGACTTGTATGAGAAATGGGATAATCCTTCCAATTTCCTTAAGTTTATGTAGGCTTCTTTCTAAAACCTTGGAATCTCCATTGTCACAGTGTCCTGAAGGTACTTCTAAATCCCACTCCCCGCTCCCAAATCTTTTTCTTTAATCACTGATGTCTAAACATACCTATGTGTCTGATTTTTCTCATGTGTGCTCAATATACAATCCTACCCAAGGATTAGGTGTGGCCTTTAGGCTGTTCTAAATAAACTTAGATTAAATGGAAAAACAAATCCTAGAAGAAAGAAAGTGTATTTTACTATGGAAAAACTAAATACCTAATTGTATTTTAAAAAACTGCATTTAGAAAGAGAAGTCTATATACTGACTTGGCCATTTCTAAACGCCCTACCTTGAGAGGTGGAACCCTGGGCTCCTCCCTTGGAGGCAGTTCCTTCTCAGGTGGGCTGCTGGCAGGCAGGCTACGGGTGGACTGATCATCTTCTATCCTGGCCCTTTTTTCCTTACAGATGCCAAAGCTATGCTGCTCTGCCGTTTTCCTCTTGGATATTTCAGATTCTCTTTCATTTCTTATCCCGTCTGGTGATACTGAGGGTTCTGATGACTTGGAGCTATGTGAGGTCTCCAATCGACTCTGTGTGCTTCCCTGTTTATGCGTTCTATTTCTAGGGCCTTCTGAAAAGGAAGTCTTTTCTACTGGTGAAGGATATTGCTTGTCCTGCAGTTTAGCCAATGGCAGCTCAGTTCCTTGACTCTCGGACTCTTCAGAAAAGGCGGGTAATTCCAATGGTGAAGACACACCTTTCTTTTCTGTTTTCTGCAGGACACTATGACTTTTCGCCTTTAAAATTTCTGGAGAAGGAAGTTCTGGAATAGGAGGGAAGGGTTTCTCACTTTCAGCATGAGATTTGCAAGGTTGCTGGCTCAGGGTCTTACTGTGCAAATCTTCAAGTGGAAATGCTTCGGAGGCCATGGAAGAAGAACCTATTTTGACAGGTTCGGGAGCAGTCAACAGAGCCTTCTGCTGAGAGAGGAGGCTCTCTCCCAGCGGCGAGGCTGGGACGGAAGGTTCCTCCTTCTGGGAGGCGAGTGGCTCTTCAGAAATGGAAGGTGACTTTCTCTGCTGATGCACCATTCTGTCACTCAAGGAAGAATTTGAAATTGGAGAAGTTTCTGAAGGAAGTGGCAAACTGGATACAAATGTGGTCTCTGATGTGAGATGCATGGAAGACACTGAAGAAGTTTCTGATGTCAGTGGCAAATCAGATAGTGGTGAGGCCTCTGATGGTAAAGGGAAGTTTGAGACCGGGGATGCTTCTGATGTTAAAGGCAAGTTGGACATGAGAGATGCCTCTGATATTTCCGGTGAGGTGGATACTGGAGATATTTCTGACATCAAAGACGCATGGAGGGTTTCATCAGTGGGCTTTCTCTGATTATATGCATCTGTGTTTTCAGTGCTGGACACCTCAGAACAAAACGCTGTCTCAAGGGAGGCAGGAGTACAGGATTCTTCGGAGGTGCACTGGGTTTCTCCACCTGGGGACGTTAGGCTGGGGCAGGCGCCTTCTGGGCTCTCAGAAGAGAAGGACGTTTCAGATATGCAAGCGTTTTCAGAAAGCTGTTCATCAGGATCACTCTGCAGTTCCATATCCACAGCGATCCCTTCATTTGGAAACTGACCCTCTAAAGAGGGTGACCCTGCTTGGATTTTTGGAGTAGAGGTCTCTACTGGGGTTTCTGGCTCTTTAGGCTCTGTGTCCCTGATAGTGTGAGTCACAGATGGAGTGGAAGATACCAGAGAGTCACAGACCTCGATCTGATCAATAACAACTGACATTTCTTCTTGGGAAGACTCTGATTTCTCGTCCACCTTGATTTCGAGAGGTGGCAATGTTTCTAAAACGTCATTCATCATCACACAGGACTCCAAATTCTCTTCAGGAGTTGAGATTTGGGGTTCTTCCTGTGAGTTGTTTGTACCTTCAGACTCGTCAGAAAATTCAGGAATTGTCTTATGATTTTCATCCGGACATTCACAGATACTAGTCTCTACCTCTTCGGTGATCTCCTCCTGAATTACAGACTCTTCGGGGATCAAGACATCCTCTGATTCGGATTCTGCCATTACGTCTTTAGATGGAATCTCCACCATTGGGCAGAGTGTGGCACAGAAATCTGGCTCCGAGGAGGCTGGGCTTTTCATGCTTTTTGGCTGTTGTTCTTCGAGGGGTGTCTGTGCAGAAGAACTTGGAAGACTAGAAGTCCCACACGAGGAACTGCTTTCAGCACCGTCGTTATTAGGTCCAGAAGTGAGCTTCATTGATTCTTCTCTTGATATACCCAACCTGAACAAAGATATTAAGTCAGAGATATTAAGTCATTATTTAAGCACAAATCCTGACTGGTCTAGCTGGCATCTCGAACACATGTATTATTCAATTAATATGAATGTATGGTATTAATTTTATAATCACTCAGTAGCATGTTTAATTCATTTAGACTAGTTTATGACAACTTAATTCCTCTACTGGTTTTATAATCATCACTCAACTCTACTTCTGTTTAAAAAGGAAAAGACTTAATTTGGTAAGTGAGGAAATCTGAGCATTGCTGGAGGAATAGGTAAAACAACTTTGAACTTGTTAACAAGCCAAATGCTTTGTGTTCGCTTTTGCCAATGTCAAGAAACTGAATGTTAGCACGAGAACACTGCCCATCAAATGGCAATTTACAGATTATAAAGATTTAGAAAATGCTGTCAAAAGACCAAAAAAGGTGTGTGAGCTATAAAATTTCATAAAAGTTGTAATATCGAAAATATATTTAGTTCATCCAAGCCAGGTTCCCAGTGTAAGAGTAGAAAGAAACTTAGCATGAAATTTTATAAAATGATTAGAAGATGCATTTAATCAATTAATTAAGAATGATAAAAAAATTATTATTATATTGTAAAAATCCAAATATTGAAACAACTTCCAAAGATTACCCCCTTAAACCAATTTAACAAGTACTATTCAATTACTTTTTTTAAAAAAATCTGAAATAAGAAAAAAAAATGTTTTACTGAAGAAAATAAACTTATTTGGAGTCTTCAAAGCTGATTTTACTAGCTTGGATTTGTGTGAGGCAAGACTTTTAAAACATAATTTCATATAGATTTCTTACTATGAAGATATTCTGTACAAGATGATATTTTTTCCCTTAAAAACAAGAAATAGAGATAATATCACCAATATCTGATGGATTTTAGCTGAAAGCAAAGAGTACTAGAGGAATATCTTTGTTTCATTGACTATACAAAGGCATTTAATTGTGTGGATCACAACAAAGTGTGGCTAACCTTGAGAAGATGGGGAATCCCAGAATATTTGATTGTGCCCATGCAAAACAATACCAATTGACATATTTCAACAAACAGACACTGCCCTGGATGTGCTCACTAAGTTGTGCCAAGAAATCTGGAGGACAGCCAGCTGGCCAACAGACTGGAAAAGATCGATATTTGTTCCCATTCCAAAGAAAGGTGACCCAACAGAATGTGGAAATTATCAAACAATATCATTAATAGCACATGCAAGCAAGATTCTGCTGAAAAGTATCCAAAAACATTTGGAACAATATGTCAACAGAGAACTGCCAGATGTGCAGACTGGATTTAGAAGAGGTCATGGTACTAGGGATATTATAGCTAATGTTAGATGGATCTTGGCAGAAGGCAAAGAATACCAGAAGAATGTCTATCTGTGCTTCATTGACTATGCAAAGGCTTTTGACTGTGTGGATCACAACAAGCTGTGACTGACTCAGAGAAGAATGGGAATCCCAGAACATTTGATTGTGCTAATGCGAAACCTATACTTGGACCAAGAGGCAGTCGTCAGAACAGAGCAAGGAGACACTATATGATTCAAAATCAAGAAGGGGTTCGTCAGGGATGTATTCTGTCTCCATACCTTTTCAATCTGTATGCAGAACAGATCATCCAAGATGCTGGGCTATACGAAGAGGAATGTGGCATAATGATTGGAGGAAGAATCATCAACAACCTGCGTAATGCAGATGACACAACCCTGCTTGCTGAAACTGAGGAGGACCTGAAGCGCTTGCTGCAGAAGTTCAAGGACTGCAGCCTCCTCTATGGACTGAAGCTCAACATCAAGAAAACAAAGATTCTCACCACTGGGCCAATTGGCAGCATCAGTATGGATGGTGAAGAGATTGAGATAGTTAACAGTTTTCATTTACGTGGCTCCACAATCAACACTCTTGGTATCAGAAGCCAGAAAATCAAGAGACAAATTTCATTGGGAAAGTCAGCTGTGAAGGACCTCTCAAGGGTACTGAAGAGCAACAACGTCAGGCTGGAGACTAAGGGGCACCTGATCTGGGCTACAGTCTTTGCAGTTATGTGCTATGCATCAGAGAGTTGGACAGTGAATAGGGATGATAGAAAAAGAATTGATGCCTTTGAGCTGTGGTGCTGGAGAAGAGTATTGAATATTCCATGGACTGCTAGGAGAACAAACAGGTTTGTCCTTGAGGAGGTGCATCTGTAATGCTCCTTGGAGTCAAGTCTTTTGAAGCTTCGTCTGACATACTTTGGGCATGTTGCAAGGAAGGACTGATCCTTGGAGAGGGACATCATGTTTGGCAGAGTGGATGAGATGGATCAAGTCTGTGACCGGAGTGGTGGGAATAAGTGTGTTTGGGATGGCTAGGCTGGCACAGGATGGAACGGTGTTTAGGGTTCTTGTACATAGGGTCGCTATGAGTCGCAAGTGACTCGATGGCACATAACAACAACAACAACATGCAAAACCTATACTTGGACCAGGTGCCATCTTCTAGCCAGAGCAAAGAAACACTGCATGGTTCAAAATCAGGAAAGAAGTGCGTCAGGGATGTGTCCTGTCTACATAGCTTTCCAGCATGTATGCAGAGATCATCTGGGAGGCTGGGCTTTTTAAGGAGGAATGTGACAGCAGGATTGGAGGTAGACTCATCAACCCTGCTTACTGAACCTGAGGAAGACCTGAAACATTTGATGCAGAAGGTCAAGGACTGACTGCAGCCCTCAATATGGATTAAAGCTCAACAATAAAAAGATAAAGATTTTCACCACTGGATCAATTGGCACCACCATGAGAGATGAAAAAGTGATAAAGGTTGGTAATAATTTTAACTTGCTCGGTTCCACAATCAACAATCTTGGCATGAGCAGTCAGGAAATCCAAAGATGAATTGCACAGAGGAAATATGCTATCAGAGACCTTTCTAAACTGCAAAAGAGTGATGATATCAGTCTAGGGACAGAAGTGTGACTGATTCAATCCATGGTCTTTGCAATTACTTGCTATGCATCAGAGTTGGACAATGACTAAGGATGACAGAAGAAGAATCAATGCTTTTGAGTTGTAGCGCTGGAGTAGAATACTGAACATACAATTGGACCGCCTAGAGTACAAATAAGTTTGTCTTGGAGAGTGTGAACCAAATTTCTCCCTGGAGGCAAGGACTGTCAAGCTCTGTTTCACATACTTTGGGCATGTGGCCAGGAGGGACCAGTCGTTGGATAAGGACATTATGCTTGGAAGGGTCAAGGGACAACATAGTCCCTGCATGAGAGGGATGGACACAGTAACTGTGGTAATGGGGGTAGATGTGCTGGAGTCAGTGAGACTGGCTCAGGACAGAGCAAGATTCAGAGCTATTGTACATAGGGTCAGGTGACTTGATAGCTCTTAAAACAGAAACAATCTAATGTTCAGCTCATAAGGCAAAGCTAATCAGATTTATAATGAAGGCTAGTATAAATCAGTATTTCCTGCTATACTGTTACAATTCAGTATCAGATGTTAAAGAAATATGTTTTTCAAAATGAAGTTAAGTTAGAGCACAGGCCACAAGAAGGACAAGCAGAAAAGGGAAACAATTCCAGAAGAAGTAATAGATTTGAAAGAAATTTGGCAATAATAGCAATAAAGTCCTCAATGATATTTAAAAGTATCAGTGATCTATTTTGCTTAAATAAAGTCCTCAAAATGAAGAGGAACCACATCATCACTAACAACAAACAGTCTTCTACAGGTGGATACTCGGGCAGGCAGAAAGAAAAAAAGTAAAAGGGAAATAAAATGAAATTTGTTCTTTGGATGTTTGATTACTGCCTCCATTACTAAAATTCAGAAGCCTGAAACATGGATGATACTGCCTTCATAATGTGTCTTTTTCCTTTATCCTTAAAATGAGTTCAAATGATGCTACAATTCACAATTATCCTGTATAGAGAGAAGCAGAAATCTGTAGATTTAAAACAGAACAGTCAGCTAGAAATAAGGTCTCTTGAGGTAAGGTCACTGCCAGCTAAATTTCTGTTACATGACTGTTGTTGAGAACCCTCAAGTCCGTCATGCAACTGAAGTAAGGAACGGGTGCTTTGAAGGGAACTAAGGATGCTTTGGCCAGGATAGAGCACTCCCAGCGTTCCTTTTCACAGACAGAGGACAGAACTCCTGGACAGTGGCGGAGGTGTCCTCCAGGGTTTCAGATCCTGCTGAGCAAGATAAGAAATGCTTGGTCTGAACTCCAAAATAATCTCAGTCATATTTTCTAGGTATATTTCAGACATTTGTAACTCTTTTTGAAAAGTCCAGTAAGGATTTTGATGCAGGAAGACTGGAATAATGTAAAAAAGAAAATAAGCAAACAAATACATCCAAAGTTGATGCCAATTAAGAAAAAACAAAACAAAACAAAAAAACCCAACCCCCAAAACCTCCTCTAGGACACAGTAGAATTATTCCATTGGCTTTTCAAGGCTCTCACGCTATGGAAGCAGACTGCCACATCTATTTCCTGCTGGGAAATCCTACGCTATAAAGACAGCATGAATTACATGTATTTGGTTCTGCTTAAACATGCGTATGCAATGAAGAGTCTTGGGGCAGTCACCATGAAAGACAGACCACCTACCTGCCAGTAATGCTATGTAGGGCAGTTCACTAAAGGCTAGTCTACTGTGTGTAAACAGTTCATTAGTTATCTGATTCTTTTTCACAAGGGCTCTTTGGCATTTATAGAGAATTCTGTGAGGTAAGTTCAAATGGCATCTTTTTTGCTGCCTATAGCCACTGTGCCTTCAGTACAAACCAAAAAGTCTTAAACCTTCATTGCGAAATATGGGTGTTAAAACACAAAGTCTTCCACTAAGTAAGAGAATCTAAGGCCAAGATCAATAGTCTGACCTCCTAAACCTCTTCATTCTTGAATCTGATTGTCTAGGAGATTCTGTATCTGTCTGATTAGGTAAGTCTCTGCTAAGTGTGAAGCTCAGGTGAAGTGACTTTCAGATTGATTCAGTATCATTAAGAAATACAACCTTAATAATGTATTAAAACATGCTACACAAGGAAAGTGATAATCACTTGTTATGCATCAGAGAGTTGGACAATGACTAGGGAGGATAGAAGGAGAATTGACGCCTTTGAGCTGTGGTGCTGGAGACGAGTGTTGAGGGTACCATGGACTGCTAGGAAAACAAACAGATTCATCCTAGAGAGGGTTAAACTGGGATGCTCCTTGGAGGCAAGGATTCTGAGACTTTGTCTGACATACTTTGGTCATGTTGTAAGGAGGGACCGGTCCTTGGAGAGGGACATCATGCTTGGGAGGGTGGAGGGCAGGTGCAGGAGGGGAAGGCCCTCTGGGAGGTGGATTGATTCGGTGACTGGGGCAATCAGGATGAGTGTCTCAGAGACAGTGAGATTGCCACAGGACAGAACAGAGTTTAGGGCTGTTGTACATAGGGTCGCTATGAGTCGCAAGTGACTCGATGGCACATAATAACAACAATGCAAGGAAAGATGGACAGAATGAAAGGAAATGCCTCTGGCTCTCCCTAAAGCAAAGACTTAACATAAAATATATATGTGTACAATCAATTTTGTTTTTAAAATGAAGATTTAATGTGTGCTTAAAATTACTTATCTCTGAAGGGTTCTAATGAACGAAAGTGAAAATTATTAAATTTAAAAAATACTATATAACTTTGGAGAGACTAGAGAGTGTTATGCTGAGTGAACTACATCTCATAAGGGCAAATATTACATAAGACCATTATTGTAAAAAAAAAAAGGATAACTAGTAAAACATGTCTGGAAACCCAAGGGGGGAAGGGGTGGGAGCAGAGGGATGAGCATGGGTGGGGTGAAACTATAGGGTTGCACAACTTGGTGTGTGGAGAGGAAGGGCGAAGGAAATGGGAAGGATCTGGCAGGGACCTGAAAAGTCAAAGTTAATGATGGGTAAGCTCGAAGGGTGATTAATTTTATAAAATATAATGCATAGAAATGATTGCATGAAACACAATGTGAATGAAGAACAGTGTGAAACACAATGTATATAAATTATGTGAGCAAACCATTATAAAATAAAAAATCTCAAAAAAACAATTAAAAACAATCCTGTCATAATCTACTTAAGAAAAAACAAAACTGACTTCTATAGTGTCTCCTGTGCTATTTTCAGTCCAAAATGAATTTTTATGGACAAGTTATAACCCTTGGAAATGCATTTTTAAAAATGTAAGTGCTGATATGCCACTATAATTTTACCTGTGAATTCTTACACCAAGGGGCTATTGCCTTTTATCACAGGTTTATTAAGTTTTACAGCAAATGAGTGTGCTATGTGAAGCAGAGAATTACATTTTCATTTCGTTCTTAAAGAAATGAGGGGGGGGGGAATGGTACAATACTTACTTTTCTCCATAAAACCTTTCAAAGAATTTTTCTTTCCAAGGCTCTGTTTTCTTTTCCTTCTCAATTTCTTGCCTTATTCTCAATTGCATTTCGGGGGTAAACTCTCCTAGAAAGAAAATGCTGCTATATTCAGTAAGAGTGGTCAATTTTTTCCAGAATTAACAAAGAACATGTCATTCATTTGACTAAACTTTCATGGCTCTGGAAGGGGAAAAGGAGAAATACTGGTCATATTTCTCCAGCCTTCTTTTGATGAGCATCGCCCTAGGTCAGGGGGTTCTAGGTGATCGAACTCCACAACATGTAGCAAATGCATGACGTGCCAGAGGTTGTTCGTGAAAAAGTACATGTGTGCTGCTCTCAAGAAGCTAAGTCTGGTGTTAGAAATGGACGTCTTCCACCGCGGTCTCGAAGTCAAGTCCAAGTCATGGTGACCATCTGTGTCAGGGCAGAACCGTGCTCCATAGCACTTCCGGTGTCTGATTTTTCTGAAGCTAATTGCCGGGCTTTGCTTGTGAGATCCCACTGTATATACCTGAACTTATAACTTTTTTGCTAACAGATAAGTATATTTGTAGTTTGCATAGCTGACTAGAACGTAATACCAGAATTTGTGTAGATCATAGGAATAAATGCAGTGAAAGTACATACAAGAAAGAACTTAATTTTACTGAAGTAGATTAAGGAGGACAGCACCTAGGAGCTTATTCTTGAACAAGCTTTTGAAGGATGACTAGTCTTTTGCAATTTAAATTATATGGCATAGAGATTAAGAAGGTGGATATTATGCCCTTTTAAGTGGTCAGCTGTGAGTAGAATGTAGGAAGGGATGTAATGGAAAAGATATGCAATGGAGCCAATCACTCCAACACACATTCTAAAAAGATTAGGGATTTTTCCCCCCTTTTCCTTAGGAGGCAGAGGAGCTCCATGGGAACCTTAGATGAGGGAAGAATAATGGTGGGTCAGTGTTGCATCTTGTCGCCATACCTTTTCAATCTATATGCAGAACAGATCATTTGGGAGGCTGGGCTTTATGAAGAGAAATGTGACATCAGGATTGGAGGAAGACTCATCAACAACCTCTTTTATGCAGATGACATATAACCTTGCTTGCTGAAACTGAGGAGGACTTGAAGGTCTTGCTGCAGAAGGTCAAGGACCGTAGTCTTCAATCTGAATTGAAGCTCATCATCAAGCAGACAAAGATTCTCACCCCTGGGTCAAGTGACAGCATCATGATAGATGGAGAAGAGATTGAGGTTGTTAATAATTACAACTTGCTTGGTTGCTTGGCTCCACAATCAACACTTTTGGCACCAGCAGTCAGGAAATCAAAAGGTGAATTACATTAAGCACATCTGCTGTCAGGGACCTCTCCAGAGAGCTGAAAAGCAATGGTGTCAAGTCTAGGTCATTCAGACTAAGATCCAGACCATGATCTTTGAAATTACTTGCTATGCATCAGAGAGTTGGACAATGACTAAGGATGACAGAGGAAGATTTGATGGCTTTGCCGGAGACCAGTCTTGCTACTTCTGAATCCAGTTTGAATTTCTAGTAGTTCCCTCTCAGGGTGCTGTAAAAGACATTTTAGAATGATCTATGTGGTAGTAATGATATTGCTCAATCATTTCCAATTCTGTCAGATTACCTTTTGGAATGGAAATATTTAAGAAATTCTTCCAGTCAGTTGGCCAGATAGTTGTCTTCCAAATTTCTGGGCACATTCTAGTGAGCACATCCAGGGCTGCAACTGTTTGTTGATACATGCCGACTGGTATGTGATCAATTCCTGGACCTTATTTTTTGCCACTGTCTTGAGTGCAGCTTGAACTTCCTTAATTATCATCAGTTCTTTTAAAATTTTTTTATATTACTCTGATTTATTTACAAAGTTTGAATTCATTACCCACCCATCGAATTGTGTAACCCTATAATAAAGACCTGCCCCCGTCATCCTCACCCTTCTATTTCCACTCTCCCCCGACAACCACCTTGGATCCTCATACCCATTCTACAATAATGGTTTTATACAGTATTTGCACTTGTGGGACTGAGTTAGTTCACTCAGCATAATCCTCTCTAGTCCCTCCCAAGTTAGGTAATAATTTACAATATGACTGCTCCTGTGTGCTGCATAGTAGTACCACAACTTCTCAATCCATTTGTTTGTGGTTGGACATCTGGGCTGTTTCCATGTTATTGCGATGGTGAATAATGCTGCTATGAACACTGGTGTACAAGTTTCCATTTGAGCCTCAATTCTCATTTTCTTGGGGTATATTCCAAGCAATGGAATAGCTGGGTCGTATGGAATTTTTTTAGGAAGCACCAAACTGCCTTTCAGAGTGGTTGTACCATTGTACAATCCCACCAACAATGTAAAAGAGTTCCTGTCTCTCCACATCCTCTCCAACATTTATTACTTGCTGTCCTGTTAAACTATTCCTCTGCTACTGGAGATGGTACCTCATTGTGGTTTTGATTTGTGTCTCTCTTATTGCCAGCGATTTGGAGCTTGATCATGTTACTTCTTAAGATGGTCCCATGTCAACTAATTCTCTTTTTGATACATTTATTCTGTGTATTTATGTTCTTTCAGTATTTCCTGCATTTTTCAATAATTTTTCCATAAGATCATTCAATATTGCAACTCTAGGCTTAAATATGTTTTTCAATTCTTTCACCCTGAGAAATGCTTGAACATATTCCTCTCTCTTGATTTTTTAACTTCAGCTCTTTGCACATTTCATAGTAATACTTTGTTTTATCTTCTTGAGTTGCCTTTGGGAATCAACTGTCCATCTCTTTCACTTCAACATTACTTGCCTTGTTTTGGCTTCTCTACAGATATTGGGCAGATGGGCTGAAAGAGGAAAGTGGACTTAAACATTAGGAAGTATCCTCTTGGAGGTATAATTCAACCCTTGATCAAGAACCACATTAGGTTTTAACAATCTGAGCAGCTGACATGTTCTACAACTGTGGTAGCATGAGGTACATTTTGGTCTTCCAAGGAATTTGGAAACTAAAGGCAGGTTAAGATCAACTGTTGGCTTTGAGAAGATAATATTAAGTTTCTTAGACTCTAGAAAACTTAGGAAATTACCTAAGAGATCAAACAGCATGATCTAAGTTGGCTTTACAAGGAAAAACCTCATTATATCAATTTTTAAATTGAACCACAGATTATGTCATCCCTTCTTCCAATGCACACACATGACATCAAAGGTGCTAAGGATAACAAAAGAATTAGTGAAGTCACATTGCATAGGATACAAAGGTTTAACTGAGTTAATGTATATACTTCAGTGGAAAAAGAATTTGGAAACCAGAGAAGGTACAAAGCTCAGTCCAGCATCAGTGTAAGTGCTCAAATATGTCAAAAAATAATTGAAGATAGAAATTTACCTTCTGCCAGCCGCTGTTTCCACCCCTGTGCTGCATACGCAAAGAATTCATTATTTAGAGCTGAAGTACTGAGGCGTAAAATCCCATCACTTCCCATCTAGAAAATAAGCAGACAAACACAATTTTCCATCAGGAATAATGCAAAGCAAAGTACACAGTTAAAGAGGGAAAGCCAAGTGGTGGGAGTCCATCAGAGAAACAGCCTAGGGGAGAAGAGAGGAAAGGCATCCAAGAAAAGATGACTCGCACAGTACGAAAATGGAATTGTTTACAGTGACTCTTAGAGTAGCAAAACAAGTCAATCCAAAGGAAATCTTTATTAGGATTTCCATTGTCAGTGGAGATTGTAACAAAGTGATGTGATTTAATAAAAAACATTTACATTTCTAGCATTTAAATATGTTTTAAGTGAACAGTCCCTGAGTGAAACAAACCATTAAGCATTGCATCACTAATGGAAATGTTGTTGGTTCAAATAGAGCAAGAGGTGTCTGGGTCACATGATGGCTAATGATCTGCTTTTGAAAGGCCTTATCCTTGAAAAACCTTCAAGGCAATTCTACTCTGCAAACATGGGGTCATCATAAGTTGGAAAAGGACCAAGAACAATGAACAGTAAAAACAACAAAGTGAAAATGAATTAAAATCAACAAATTAATCTTTGGATTATTTTTATACCACATTTTCTGAAATTTCTGGTAGCCAAAAATTCCATTTGATCACTCGTATTTTTCTGTCTGAGGTTCTGACACCAAGCAGCTTGGAAGTAAAACAAATACACCTCTACTGACGTACATACCTTCTACTATTCTCTTGGGATACACAAATACCCAACAAAGCACACACCATATTAAATGATGCACAATATACACTGTTAAGATTGTCCCCAAACATTCCAACTGTCAAAAACTCATGTAGGAAAACGACTGTGGTAAGCATCATTTAATGAAAAGAATGTATTTATCTTTTTAATTACTTATTCACTTCATCCTTTGAGCACACGCATTCTTCTTGTTTCTGCAGAGAACAGAAAGAATTAAAGTTGTTGTCCTTGACTGGCTTCCTACCTAGTAGGTGGGGGAAGATAAAACACGTCAAAGGATAATCAAAGCTAAGCACTGGATGAGTAGCTTGAAAGTGTTGTTACATGTGGTATAGTTGACTTCAACTCGTAGAAACTCTAAGTGTAATGGATCTGAACCTTGCCGTATCCTGTACTATCCTCAAGATCTCTGTCATGGTCTAACTCATTGTGAGACTGACGGGATGTGGACAGAGTAATTGAAGTGCAGAATATATTTTATATTGTCAGAACAGGGACTATATTACAGAGGAAGGGTGACATAGCATCAGTAATTAGACAATTTATGAATATGTGAAGATGGTTTAGTCTGGCAGGTTACAACACCAATGACATTTTCCAAGGTTTTCTCTTACTTTTAAGTTCATATATCAAATATCTTAAGCTCTAGGTAAAAGCATCCCTGGTGGTACAGTATGTTGTGTGTTGCACTGATGACCAAAAGTTCAACAGTTTGAATTCAACAGCTGATTCTAAAGAGATCAATGTAACACTCTACTTCTGTAATGATTTATTAGTCTTGGAAATTCTATGGCCAAACTACTGTGTGTTACGGGGCCCCTGTAAATCGGAACTGACTTGATGGTAGTGGATTACATTAAGGCAAGTAATTTTGTTTTGAACTAAAATTTTCTTTGTTCTGCTAAATGTTAATGACACCATAATTAGTATAGGATGTGTGCTCCACCAGTCATCTCCGAGACCTAATAACAGCAGATACTAACAGGCTCAAATTGATGGACAAGTGATGCAAACAAGAGGATGGCTGAGATGCTGAGGAATGTTTGGGTTTTGAAAGGTGACAGCCTCCCAGAGATCACAATGAGGGAGTTTTCCACTATAGCCAGGGCCCAGAAGTCCGAGTTCTAGCCTAAATGATACAAAAGACATCCCTGTCCTTGAAAGCCACCCATATGGGCTCTTTCTGCTGGAGCAGCACTAGCAATTTGTTATGTTTTAAAAGGGGTATTTTCAGTGTATAAGTCATTGACTATTTAAAACATAAAACAAAAGCATGTATTTGAGAGGATATATGAACCCTAAGGACAGGCTAAAGGCCAGCCTGAGGTTCATGGAGCTGGGAGCTTGGCCACTGGCCCTCTTGTTAAGTTGCCACACTCCCTATGACTCCCTGGACCCTTCCAAGACAACTAAACCATCCACCTCCTGAAGACTTAGTAGCCACATGAAATTCACGGGAGGCACAACAGGATCCGAGGAGACTGTACCAGACACGTGTGCTGTACCATTTGATATCACCTAGCCCATGTGTGAACAGAGCAGATGGCGGAAGGAATACTGAGCACTTAATGCTGTGGCAAGCTTTAGAACTTAAAGTCATAGAGCTGGCAAGCAGGTAATGTCTGGAAATGCAGAATTTGCCCTTGGGAGCAACTGTTGCCTTTGTATTAAAGTGGAAGGTCTGGGGATAAAGAAAGGTGAGTGTCAGCGGAGCAGAGGAAGACCCTAGACAAGATGGACAGACATGGTGACTTTAACAGTGGGTTCAGGTGTACTGGAGATTGTGAGGATGGTTCAAGATAGGGCAAGGTTCACATCTGCTGTTCATTGCGTTGCTTTAACTCACAGCTGACTCATCTGCAAAAACAACAATCGCCTATTTCCCTTTTGTGAGAGAACACAGCAGGCTCACCCTGTGCCACTTCTCAGAGTGCCATCTGTGGAAACACTGGCCAGAGATTCTTTCTCTGAAGCTTCACATTATCTAATCCCTAGTGTCTGCTCCAATCTCCCTGTACACAAATTCTTATTTCTAGGTTATGTTTGGGAGAAAAAAGGGGAGGCTGCTACCTAGGACCCCCCCAAAAAAATGATAAACAGCTGCGGCTTTACCTTGTACAAGAAGTGGATCAATGAAAGCACTTTAAGGTGAACATGAGGCCTGAGGCAGGACTTAAAACGGTGAGAGGCCCCAGTTAGTGGTCTCCAGTTCCAAGGGTTCTCCACAATTAACTCCAGAATTATTGTTGTTAGGTGCTGTTGAGTTGAGTGGACTCATAGCAACCCTATGAACAAAGGATCTGATCCCTGGCCTAACCTGTGCCCTCGTCATCATCTTGGACATACTTGATCCTATTATCTCTTTCAATATGTGCCATAAAGGGGAAAACAGTAAATCACAGCTCTAGTAATGTTGCTGTCATGCACTCTTGAATTGTCTAGGACTCGGAGCAAATCTATGAATGAAGTGCCTAAACTTTGCCCTACCCTGAGTCATCCTCAAGGTCTGTGCCACTGTGGAGCCCATTGGTACAGCCACTGCAAATCTATGTCTCTGAGGGTCGTCCGCTCTTTCTCTGACCATCTATTTTCCAAGCATACTGTCTTTCCCCAAGGATTCTCTCTCCTGAAAACATGCCCAAAGTATGTAAGATACAGTTTTACTTCTTTGTCTCTAAGACACATCCCAGTTGCACTTTCCTCAAGACAGACTTGCATGTTCTTCTGCCTGTCCCTGATATATTAAGTACTCTTCACAAACACCACAATTCAAAGTACTCAATTCTTCTTCGATGTTATTTATTGTCTAACTTCCAGATACAGAGGAAGCAACTAAAAATGCTATAGCTTAGCTCTAGTATACTTTCAGCTCTAGCATAATTTAATCTTAAAACTTATATCCTACAATAAAACCATAACTGTAGAATGATATGAGCATCCAAGAGGGGGGAGGGTAGAAGCAGAGGGGTGAGGAGGGGTGAAGGGGGTGGTTAATCAGAGTCACACAATTTGATGGGGGAGGAGGGTGAAGGAAATGGGAAAGATTTGGTGTGAAAAACAATGTATTTGAAGTTTGTAAATAAGCCAGTATAGAAGAAAAAAAAATAAATTTAAAAAACTGCTCTTATAACCTTGTTCTTTAGCACTCTGGAGAGATCTCTGACAAGAGATATTCCAAAAGTAGCATGTCTTGATTTCTTGACTGCTGGTGCCCTAACTGTTCATTGTGGAGCCAACTAAAATGAAGTTGACAACATTAAACTTTTCTCAATCTACTGCAATGTTGCCGGTTGGTCTAGTGGTGAGGAATTTTGTTTTCTTAATGTTGAGATGTAATCCATATTGAAAGGCACAGCCTTTGACTTTCTTCTATAAATGTATTGAGTCGCCATCACTTTCTGTAAGCAAGTTTGTATCATCTGCATAAGCCAGGTTCTTACTGAGTCTCCCTCCAATCCTGATTCCACCTTCTTCTTCATATGGTCCATCTTCACAAATTATCTCAATGTAGAGACTGAATAGGTATGGAGAAATGATCCAACCCTGGCACACATATTTCCTAGTTTTTAGACCATGCAATATCCCCTTGGTCTGTCTGAATGACTGCTTCTTTGTTTAAGTTTCACACGCACATAATTAAGAGTTCCGGAATTCACATTCTCTTCAATATTACCCACAATTACTATGATACATACACTCAAATGCCTTTTCACAGTCAAAAAAATACAAGTAAATATCTTTATGGTATTCTCTATTTTCAGTCAAGGTCCATCAGCAATGATACCACTTGTCCCATGGAACCGGTAGTGGATGTGAACTTCCAGAGAGGCGCTACTTTTGTAACTCCCCACAGATTACGGTGGCTTAATGCATTAAGTATTAGATTATTAGGAGAAAGGCTGGTGGTTCAAGTCAGTAAGTGGCCTGAAGGGAGAGAGATATGGTAACCTGAGGATTTACAGCTTCAGAAATCTGATGGGAGGTCAGGACACATTGGAACTGGCTTGATAGCCATGAGTTTTTAGCAGGTGAAAGGGAAGTTTTCTGAAGTGGGAAAGAGATTTATTTACTAAGAATTCAGCCACAGAAGGCACAATGCAAAAGGTTAGGCTTATTCTATAGTTGGTCACATGTGTTTTAAAAATGCATATACTCCATGCAATGCCAAGGACTTAGAAGGTACTCAGTACATGCTAATTGCACCATACTTGCGCTGTAGAAGGAAAGATTTAAAATTTAGCTCGAGTATATAAACAGAGTGGGAAGAGCGTCAT